CACTGCCACTTATACATACTTCAGTTGCCTCTGATGCCGCCCCGGCTCTAACCGAAGTACTGTTATTAATTACATTTAATTTATTTTTTCACAAACAAAGAGTGGAACAGGGCATAAAAATTTTAGTCATACCTATAACTTGTTACGTGTGTAACTATAAAACGTTTTTTTTTTATTTTAAATTTTCAGGACAGAAAGATATGTATTACGTCATAATGACGGTCACGAGTTAAAACGGGGTACCGTTAATTTTAGTTAATTATTTATTTCCTTAAGCACAAACAGCTAATTACGAGCACGAGTAGTATTACTTTAACAAATTACATTAACGACAATAAAGTTTCAATATCGCAACGTTTACAACGAACGTCACAAGATTTTATATCATAGATCATCCGTTGTCCGTCGACACGTCGTCGCGGCGTCGTCGCCGTGCCGTGTAAAGGCGGCCGGCTTATCGGTTAAGTTTATTCGTACAATCTACGAAACGGGCCGCAACCGCAACGAGCTCCAACATGACGCTCATACATTTTATTACAATTGCATGAAAAGACCGACAGGGCTATATTTCTCCTTTATTCACTGCCTTAGTTTATTTTACGAGTGTTAAGCGAAGCGTGGTAATATGTATGTAAGTATATGATTGTTTGCCTCTAAAAGTTCTCGTTTGAGAGCCAAAGTAAGAAAAGTAAGAAAATCTTGTCGAATTTTGGAAGGAACGGGTCAGATACTCTAATATCAAACATAACAAACATTTGTTTCGTTAAAGGAATTAAAAGTACAATATCAACTTTATATTTTTTTAATACTCGCAGATACAATATATACCCGTTTTTTTATTTTAGAAGGTTGCAAACAAGGTAGCGGTTCACCTGATGTAAAGTGATAACCGCCGCCCATATCAGAAAATCATCCTACACCAGTAAATAATAAAGTCGAACGGAGTTAAAAGGCGGGAAAGCCGAGCTGACGATAAAAATAACGGGATTTCGCACATAACATCAGAAACTTGCGGACAAGGCCTGTATAAAACCGGGGTTCACGTATGTTTTCTTACTGAGCGAATTACAGTCCTCACTTCGAGTTCCGTTATCGGACGATCCCGGCTTTTGCATGGGAAATAAATTTGAGGCGATCAGTGTGCTCTCTAGAGAGCCACGATTTTAGTGTCCGGGCGCTCGCTTTCAATTCAACATACTCGAGCAACCTATGTTCAATTCTCGGTGACCGATGAAATTGTTAATTTTAAGTGCTGACTTATCGCGTGCTCGTATCGTGCAGGGTTTTACCGTGAGGAAACATGTTTTATAATAATATTGCAACAGTACATCACTCTAATGTCGATCGGCGAGAGTAAGTTGCGTAGGAACCCTCAAGCTTACCTGAAAAGAAAAAACACATTCATTAGAATAAAATGCGTATATAAATTATTTTAATTTAAAAATAGTATCAGCGAATCTGTCTATTGCCACAGAGCAGATATACGCACAACATAATATTAACATAGTATAAGACGTGCACGTACATACAAAATATCAAAAGCACCTGAGAATTGTTGCTATTGAAGACGGTTACGTATTCCTAATTAACATTAATAAATAGTCCATTGCTAATTAAAACACAACTCGGTACGGTCCGTAATTGAAATAACTTTTAATACAGAGATTACACGACACTCGCGTAAATAGAAGCGATAAGAACCGAGCCACCCCTTGAGAGTGAGTCGAAATATGAAAGGAATAAAACATTCCCCCGAGCGAAGGGACTTATGGGGCCGATAACAGACCCGATAGGGAGAAACCTGCCCTCGGGGTTAAGGGATGGGAAAAATCAGTTCGCTACGGACCAATATTATCAGCTAGTCATGCTTGCAAACAGTAATCGAGCGTAGAAAGTTGCAAGTAGAAGAGGAACATAAAAGCATGGTTGCAGTGTCAGTACTGTAAATGGTTTTAGTGAGAAATTGCCAGAAACCGCTTATCATCAAATTCTATTTATCATCATTATCATTTTCATCATCGCATAGGTCTCTTCCCTTTGTGCCATATGTATGATAGATATGCCTTGTAAACATTCAAGAGTTGTGTCTCCGATTGTAGCCGGCCAGTTCAAACAACAGTAGAAGACAGTTGACGATAAAAAGCAAATAAAATCTCTTCACTTACGTCGTTTAGTTCTAAGTGGCGAAGTCTGTGTCCACGGCGGAAAAACGGAACAAAGCGCTTTCGCTATGCTATGGATTTAGGCGGTGCGAGTTGGATTCTCGCACAGGACACATCATTCATTACCTTCAGACAAATAATTTTCTGGAGCAGGCTGGGAGCTGGGTATTTATCCTTGTAAAATTTCCAGATATTCATTCGTCAAATAAAACAAAAATATCCGTAGATCAACGTTGACACAAACTTTTAATATTTTAATTTTTTTTTGCAATTAAGATGAAAAATGTGCTGAAGCGTCTGGGCGCGAACCCCGGAGACGGGGGTTCCATTCCAACGGCGGAATATCCGTTCGTAAATTACAATTTTTAGCTTTCAATAATTGCTAATACGCTAACCATATTTAAATAGTTTAAAGTTTACGCTACCGTAAAACTAAAGTATCAAGAACTTAAATTCGTCACTCGTGCCCGAGTCATGGCTACATATATACAATTGTGGACCACATCTAGCCGAGTAGTTACAAGAGTACACGGGCAGGCACATTTCGGTGGGTTTAATTAAACGGCGCCACGTCATAGGACGAATAGAAGCGGCAGGAAATAATCGAAACGAGAAATGTATTTGTTTGATGTTTTTACCCTTGCTAAATCACTATGTATAAAATTTTATTATTCTCGAGGCTAATTTATAATTTATATATAACATCAATTTATTTGTTTTTTTTAAATTTATCAAAGTGTATAACTATGTACCACAGCTGTGCAAAGGACTTTTTCATGTGGTTAGAGATATATCTTCGATATTTTTTTAAATTATTATTACAATGAAGCTGTGATAGTTCAGTATCCGGGCGCTCGCCTTTAATTCAATATACTCGAGCAACCTGAGTTCGATCCCCGGTGCCGGCACCAATGAAGTTTTTAACTTTAAGTGCTGACTTATCACGTGCTCCGCGGTGAAGGAAAACATCGTGAGGAAACCTGCATATTTTCGAATAACAAAAAAAAATATTTCGAAGATATGTGAAGTCCGCCAATCCGCAGTGGGGCCGCGTGGTGGACTATGCCCTAATACCCTCTGTATAGAGGAGGCCTTTGCCCAGCAAGCCCAGGGACATGTATAGGCTGTTACTTTTCTTTTTATCAACTTTTTATTATTACAATAATTTGCAGGTAACAATGTTTTCTATCAATAAGCACTTGGTAAATCGACACTTGAAAATTAGAATAGACAATTACAGTAATGGCACTGGGATTTGAACTAACTTGTACTTTTTTTTATAGCACCTTCATTGAATTAAAAGTGATTTTTATGTATATCTGTCTTTCTGTTTGAATGTTACGTCTTCAGCCTATTCTACGCAGACGTAGTCGCAGTTCTTCTGGAAATATGAATAATTAAAGTGAAATGTACAGACTGAGTAAGTTTTTGTGTTTGATATTATGTATAATCACTACATAGTATAAAACAAAGTCGTCCCGCTGTTTGTCTGTCCCTATGTATGCTTAGATATTTAAAACTACGCAACAGATCTTGATGCGGCTTTTTTTTTACTACATAGAGTGATTCGTTTTATCTTTTTTCTTTTTTTTTTTTTTTCAAACATTGCCCTTACTTTAGGATAACATTATCCTGTGTTGTAAGGACGTTTTACAAACATAAATTTTAAGTGGACAAACACTCAGATGCGATAAAACTATATGTGGGTCACCGAAATAGTTGTCTCGGGTGGGAATCACAAATAACAAACATGCTATCCATTTCAGTAACGAAACGGTGAAAGTACGTAATGCGTAGTATTCACGTGAATACGATAAACAATCTCTCAAAGCGGGCCCCCAGATAATAGAATAGAGTATGGCGACACGTTATTTGCAGATAAAAGTTCTAGCGCAGATGCCGTTTGAAAATTTCAATGCGTCCTATCGGAAACTATTCCGAGGCCCGCATTCGTTAAATCGAATCTAGAGGATGCCTCAAGGATGTAAATACTTGTTTTTTTTTATGTGAAAAGTTTTAAAGCAAGCGAGCGGTTCACCTGATGTTAAGTGAAGAAAGCCCTTATGGATCTACAACACCCAAGCGCTTAAAGATGCGTTCATAAGCTTTAAAAAAGTAGGCCCCGGTTACCTCAGTTCACTTAACGCGAAAGAAATCTGTGATCTCGTGGTAATTCCCCGGATGCGCTTGCCCATTCTTGCAATAGCATACGCTGTTGCATGAATGAGCAGACTCTGTACTGAGCTGTACTTAAAAGATGTTCTCAGTAAATTATTATGAAGAAACAATTGTAATTATTTGGACACTTAAACAGAACCTATTAACTTGAAACACAGTGAAAATAAAACAAGTAGACAAATCAATATGCGCTGAAACGGTGTAAATAATAAAGTAGCTTAAACTAAAACTTCATCGGTGTGGTTCTTTTCTAAATAAAACATTTAACTTTAGCTAATACCGGAATACAAGATATCTGATTTAATTTAGCTCATAAGCGTAACTTAGAGACTCGGAGACTTATCCGTTCGTTAGTATCCGGTTATAATAACAACACTAACACAGTATTTGGTGTGATTAAATAAAATATGAAAGCGAAACACGAAGGAAGTTAGCCAAGATAAATGCAGAATGAAAATTTTCTACAAGAACTATATTCTGAAACATCTTAAGCTATTGCATTCTTCAAGTTTCTCGAATAACGATTCCCTACAACAACTATATTCTCGGAACATCTTAAGCTATTATATTCTGGAATTCATCATTGGAATTTCTTCATTCGGCATTATATTGGATGTCGATCCCTTCGCTACAACATCACCCCCCATCCCCAAGGTTCTAATGATTAACACGGTCAACTGCCATCGGAGTAATATTCCCTGTCGAACTCATGATCCGTACTACGGCACGATCTCGAGCGAATTCAAAATACATGATCAACCCTATCCGGCCAAAGAACATTCTGGAACTTGGCTAGATAATTATGCAAGTTCGCAAGTATCGGGCAACGCGGCCCGACTTGCAAACGCCGCGCGCCTCAATCCGATAGTGCATAGAAAGATGTTTCCACTAATTAAGGCGCCCCGCTGCTCCAGTCATCGCTACGCGGACCACGTACCGAATTATCGGGTACGAGACAAAGAGGAGACAGCCTGGAAAGCGTACCGATGTCGTTGGGCGCGACCGCAATAGGTTCATTAAAACGTCTGTAACACGGGTACGGGACAAAAACCCAGAAGCTGGAAAAGAGTACCGATTTCTAAATGATAATTATAGAGAATAAGAGATTAATTAAACGGATGCCATTATTTTAATTATCCTAAATTAAGGCCGGAGAATGTGAATATTTAAGTAAATTCGATAGCTACATTTTCTTTCTTGGTAGTAGGGCAGGGCGAGTGCTTTTTAGGATTCCGTATCCGAAGGGTAAAACGGGATACTTTTATTAAGACTCAACTGTCTGTCCGTCTGTCACTAAGTTGTATCTCATGAACTGTGTATTTCTGTTGCCGAATACTAAAAAACAGAATTAAAAATTAGATTCCATAGAACAGACACGATTGTTTTTGCGTTTTTACAGATAATAACACGGTACGGAACACATCGTACTCGAGTCCGACTGGCATTTGGCCGGTTTTTATTAGGAAAATGCGTTTGTAGATTCACTCAACAAATGGTATGTTCATGCTCAACCGTAAATGGTAAATGGAGGCAGAAGGAAATTATGCATTATGAATTATATTATTATTATTTGAATAAAAATATAGGCGGAAAGGAAGGCTATAATTCAAATTTTACTTACGTGCAGGAGGTTTATATAAAAAAAAATCCTTTATTCAATATAGGCTTATTTGGGAACTTTGAAAAAGAGCGCCCAATCCTACCTAAAAGGCAAATCTCCTGCTACTACTACTCCGGCGTTACGATCGTTCAAGAATGGTTGTGATCGTTTACCATCAGGTAACAAGCCTTGTGTGAAAAAACTTTTACATAAAAATTCAGTAACGTCACGACGTTTTCCTTCAATGCAAATCGAGCAGTCAAAATCAAAACTTAAATTGATATCGACATAGCACAATAATTAATTACGAGACACGTGCACTTTCATCATTTGCTCCAATTTTCGAACGACAAAACTGGAACGTTTCGGATGATTTTACCGTAGCCCATTTATCTGTGATTCCGGGGAATGTGTAAATGTTTACACAGATAATATATCGCACAGATAACGTTCGATTTCGCCGTGGACAGTACAATTCTCGAAGTGCGATGACCCGCACGCCCACCTACGTTGACCCGCGTGGGTAGCACAACGTCCAGCGCACAGTGTAAAGCAAGCCGCTTTCGCCGTACAAATAAATGGATAAGGCGATTTAACTATTCAAGAAAAGACCGGCATGTAGTGTTGCACTTCTGCGTTTCGTCTGGTGAATGAGATAGACGGGGCCCATTTTATTAAATGGTGGCAACGCATCTGCGGGCCTACGGGTGTTGCAAATGTCAATGGGCGGCGGTTGCCATTTAACATCCGGAGAACCAGCTCGTTTGCCACATTCTGACATGAAAAAAAATTTTGTGGTGTTGTGTAATTATATAAAAAAAAAGCTACAGTAAACGTGCTAAACGAGAAATTGCATTTTTCAATTTATTGCGCGGTGTACATCGTAACTCGATAGATAAAAGCGTTATGCCGAGGAAGAGAAACTATGGCTAGAATATTCTTAGAGCTTATCGTTCGAAGCCAGTATACTTCGGAAACTAATTTTCGAATCTGCACAAAGACGCCTTAGCCGGTTATGTTTGGCAACTTAAATTGGTTTATTCATTTCAACTACTTCAGAGCGATTTTTGTGTCGTCGTACCTATTTACACAAAAATGTTTCCTTTGTGTGGTCGAAGGCATTACAAACAATTGAACTTGCTGAAAGTACTCGTATTATAGTAATTTCGTAAGTACTCTTCGTCTTACTTATATACTGAGGTAAATGACATGCTATATATATATATATACACGAACATATATATATATATATATATATATATATATTGTTAGCGTTTTTGTATAAAGTTTTAAGCCGGACTAAAACAAAATGAATTTAGAAAGGTTCATCAGGTTTTAGTTCATCTAAAGGTTGCCTGGACGAAATTAATTTGGGTAATAATACCCATTGTACCCATCACCTTGACATTAAATTTTGTTTATTTTATTTTTGGCGTGTGTTAAAGTGTATTCATCCGTTCATTCATTATGATGTTTTACTACTGTTTCACGAATGGATAAGCTCGCTTATACCTTTACATTCCCTCGGGTGAGTGAGGTAGTCGGAACCCAATTTTCAAAAGGTTGTCAACGCATCTGCAACCCTCGGGAGTAGCAGATGTCCATGGGTAGCAGTATTCACATCAGATGAACTGCCTGCTCCCTTGGTCATTATAGCCTGTGAGTGCACTGCTGAACATACGTGATATGCTGTAGAGTAGGCGTATATTCCCATCACGATCCTGAGCCACCTGCATCCATCGACTTCCAGCACATTTGCACAGGGCATCGCCCGTGTTCAATTACAAAAAAAACCGAAACATGCGAAATCAAACTAAAAATCAAGAAGAGGAAGAGGAAACACAGCGAGCGAATTAATCAATTTTATCGTACCATTGTCTTTCTATCGTTAAACAGTCTTTAGGTACAGATTTAATAGAAATACCCGATTAGAGATCCCCAATAAAGAGAATCGAGTGATAGACGAACAGAATGATTCGAATTGAAAATAACAAAGAAACCTTTACAATAGCCCAGACTAAACAAGGAATTTGTTAAATGAAACTTACATTACAAGAAGTATTCATCATTATTAAGTTATTAACAATACAAGAAGCTTTATTGAATTCAAATTTGTATTTTAAATTTCCAATATGTAGGACACTGACAACCTGTTGGCGTAGTGGTTAGTATATATCTTATATCTATCAGTATAAATCTATAGGGCCCATGTTCTATCTCCAATATTGGATAAATATTGTGTGAAAAACCTATTGCTTTTTTAGAATCCAAGCGTGAATATGTTCATAATATATATTTATTTACAAAAAATATGTTGGTCTATCAGTTACCTAATAAAGCTTTGCTTAGTTTGAGATTAGATAACGTGTAAAAATATGTCATTTATGTGTATTTTTATATCTGGTATATGAAAAATGTAAATGTAATGTAATGTAGGGGAAAAGGGACGCTTCTAAAATGGACAACAAAAGTAAAGTCAATGAATCGAAAAAAAAATAGGGAATGAATGATTGATTAATTGAGTGATTGATGAAGTAAATGTAACATAATATTTCGGGATTAGACGTCTGGGCCTGGGAGTCTAGGTCTTCGACTCGAACATATACTTTATGCAGCGTACATGGTCTAGCAATTAGACGGGATAAGATTGTTTCAGTCAAGATCAGTCTTAATTTCAGTCTGCGAACGCGGGTGAAATGCTTTGCGGGAGAGCGCTAAAGTATCCGTCGCAAGAGGGGACCCTAGGTTTACGGGGGATCGGGATAGAGTCCCTGATCGGCAACTTTAGAGGGCCCAGTCAGGAACTCGTTTTGCCAGAAAGCTATGAGGACGTTTGGCGAAGTTTATCAAAAGAGGCAAAAGTCAGTAAAAGTTGATTCGAAAGGACTAGGGACAAAGGCTCAAGTAATTTCATTGTTATATTTTGTTTTGATAGAGGTCACGTGTTGATGACCTTTCCTAGAAAGCTGGGCCACTATAATACTAGTAAATAGTGGGTACAATAAATAGCGACAACGCTTTGAACTTTCTCGCCGTTAAAGGATTGTGACAAAGCGATCCAACAAGCTTTTTTCCCGAGATAAATCAGACACGTATCTTATTTTCTCAAGGAAGCTTATAAAAAGCTAGCTTTTACACGCGGCTTCTCTGACATGTTACATATCGAGACAATTTTTAGAGTTCCGTATCCAAAGTTTAAAACGGGACCCTGTTACTGAGACACCACTGTCCGTCTATCTGTCTGTCACCAGGCTGTATCTCATGAACCGTGATAGCTAAACAGTTGAAATTTTTACAGATAATGTATTTCTGTTACCGCTATAACAACAAATACTAAAAAACAGAAAAAGATGTATTAGTGGGGCTCCGATACAACATAGGTTTTTTTTTGCCGTTGTAAGATAATATTATATTTAACGGTGGTAGAGCCACGCAGCAGCCCCGGCTGTTGCACGAATGGGCAGGCTCGTCCGGGTAAGCACCACGACCTCACAGAAGACCGGCGTAAAGTGGAAGTATGACAAATACTTTCGCGTTTCGTCTGGTGAGGTAGCCGGAGCCGAATTTCCAAAAAGGTTGTCAACGCATCTGCAAACCCTCGGGTGTAGCAGATGTCTATGGGCGTCGGTATTCACTTAACAGGTGTCGTTTGGCAACTTTTCACATAAAAAAAAAAATAATATAATGGTACGGAACCCTTCGTGCGCGAGTCAGACTCGCGCTTGTTTTTTCATCGTTATCCTCTATGCATTCTAAAATAACCAGAAAATTCCCTTAAAACAACAGCTAGTCAAAGCGCAAGCCTAAGCCAGGGCCTTCTTTAAAACAACTCCTCCATCAGCCAGCTAATTCTTGCAGGCATCTCGAGACGGATCGCGTCACGGGGGATTTTGTGATTTAATTACTTGATTGCGTTTCGCGTCTCCGTCGTGCCTGTAATCAAGGAAGTTGGGCCGCTTTGTAATTAAGGTTGCTTTCATAGAGCTATAAGAGCTATTAGACGAGAGCACTGAGCTAATCGCGCGGCTGTGCTCGCAATAGGATACGAAAATCTCAAACGTTTCGAGCCGCACCCCATCAGTGCAGCGATAAGATTATTCTAACAAAAAAGTAAAGTATCAGCCTATACATGTCCCACTGCTGGGCAAAAGCCTCCTCTGTACAGAGGGTTCTGGGCATAGTGCTCCACGCGACCCCACTGCGCATTGACGGACTTCACATATTATGGACATAATTTTTTTTGTTATTATTTCCAAAATTTGCAGGTTTTCTCGCGATTTTTTCCTTCACCGCTGACCACGTTCTATCAATTTCATTGGTGCCGGCACCGGGGATCGAACTCAGGTTGCTCGAGTAAATTGAATTAAAGGCGAGCGCCCGGTCACTGAGCTATCACGGCTCAAATAAAACTCAGACTATGATATTCGAATCAATTGGGGCGGCGAAATAGAGCAAAATGTTCATATCCGCTCGATTCCGATGAGATTCCGAAGAACTCTCTGTCAATCGTAAGTAGGTTAATTTCTGAGTGTTTGTTATTATAATATGATTTTAGAACGTTTCATTCTGACTTCGTGAGTGTCATAATGGTAACAAGCTACACATTAGCTTTTAAATAACTAAATAAACAATTCAAAAAAGTTACTAACCTACATAGCGAATTATCCCGCGCTGTACATTATTACTCACAATTTCACTTGTTAACATTAGTTACTACACTGAATTAACGACGACCATTGCTACTGATATTTTATAATCACTAGTGCCTTTAGGTAGAGTACACAGTAGACGAAACTAATTTTACGGATTTATCGCGTTTATTTTTAATTTTAGTTCCCAACGTTTCGAACCCTTTACAGCGTTCATGGTCACGGGACAGACTGAGGTGTTAGACGTCTATCAAACCTGATGTAGTGGTTGGGCCGATTTGTGTTGTGAGCACACTGTAAATCGGCCCAACCACTACATCAGGTTTGATAGAAAGATCCTTGCAAAAGAACACCGATTCCTCCCGAGGATGATTCGAGAGGCTATTGAAATTAAAAAACACCCTAATTTCAATAGAGAAGAGGGTTGGGTACTACCATCAGCTTGGGATCCTATCATAAATAAAATTAAATCTAAGCCCAAAAGAACCACTACTGCAAGACAAGATACAATTAGCTCCCTCTGCATAGATCGGACACAAAATCAATAATACAAAAACTGACGGTAGCCCGGGTTAACTTTGACAATCAGACGACTAACACCTCAGTCTGTCCCGTGACCATGAACGCTGTAAAGGGTTCGAAACGTTGGGAACTAAAATTAAAAATAAACGCGATAAATCCGTAAAATTAGTTTCATTTATAATGTGTAATCGCGTAAATACAAGAAATTATTATACACAGTAGACGTTAAAACAACCCTATGGACATATTTTACAAGTTTCACGAGGTCGAACGTAAGAAATCGCCCACAGCAGAAAAGTCATTGGTAGACTTGTATATGAACTCACGGTCTGACGTCTCGGCTACCACGTGTATGTTGTATTTTGCCATCCCGTGTCACGGTATTCGACATGTATAGCCTTTCCAAATAATACATCATATACGGAGATCATTGAAAAAAAAAACAAGTTAAAGTCAAAAGTAAAAGTTAAATCTTCTTTATTCAATATAGGCTTATTTTAAGCTCTTTTTATGTTTTTTTTTTTCTTTCAATTATGTAAGTATACAGCGTGTCATTACCATCGCGACAATAAATGAACACACGTCTAACGCTACTTGCCAATAATCATAAAAAAATATTAACGTTAAACAAAATCCATAATTAAAAAAAAATATTTTTCAAACAAACTAATTAAGTAAAAAAGAAACAAAATTTGTAACATCCTATACAACTCGCGCCACAGCGTCGTTTTACAAGCCTCTCCTTCTAACAGTATGTTTTGTCTCTTTTAAATTCATTCAACCCATTCATATGCTTTGTGACCTTTACAAATGAACTTTACGTAACGCTTTTTTAGGTAAGGCTGTTCTAAAATTTTTTTTTTGGAAAATTTAATAACTGTAAATATTGATGCTTAAAAAATTTAAATGTTTAATACAACTTTAAAAAGTTATTCCCTATATGTGTGTTCATTTATTGTCGCGATGGTAACGACACGCTGTATACACAAAGGTATTTAAGTATAAAATTAGCAGGAGCGACTTGCAAGTACAGAGCAAGAGTCATTTCCACACATACCTACTTGTCCTCAATGTATTCCTGGAAACTAAACAATACCCATACATTAAACAGTTTAATTTTTTAACATAATATTATTAGGATATGTGTTTAAACCTTCATCCAGTCTGCGGCGTTCAAGGAAGCGGTTAAAACCGGCCACGGAACAAGTTAAACCAACAACGCGAATACCAGGCGAGCATAAAGCCAAGGAAACGGGGGGGCGTGTTATTAAATTCCACGGCGTCTCATCATGCGACAATATGAGTGTGCTTACGGCGGGTCGGCGGTCACGGGGGCCCTAAGAAACAACAACGCATTCGCGGTCGGGGCGATAAGTTCGGCGTGTTAGTGTACAGGTCAGACGACATGCTTGGCGGATGTCTATTTGGACTGAACACGCCAAAATTCTTGAACATGTTCATCTGTACATCAGTTCACATGTACATCAGGCGAACCGTCTCGTCTCGTGCGCCATTTTACACATAAAAAAACCTGTTTTAGACATTGAGGGTAATTGTTCGTTGGTCCGTTTAAAAACAGGCCTCTGTCTGTCTGAGTCTGTTTTAAGGGTCCTTCATAAGGGTCATTCATATGGACATCCAAGACGGATGTCTATTTGGACTGTCACTGCAGGGAGGCTATATATTAAAATAATCAATTATTTCAACCTCTTAAAAATATTCCAGTCAAAATACAATTTGTTTTTTTTTTTGTCCAAAATTTTACTGACGCCGTCACCGGGTTACACTCGGGTTTTTTGAGTGTAACGAATAAAAATCGAGAGTCCAAACACTGAGGTATTACGGCTCTCTTTCTATAAATAACCAATAATTCAATGTCATAGATAAACGCATGATGGAGTGCAATTTTATGAATGCTTTATACTCCATTGTTTTTCGATAGATTCATCTTCCAAAGAATCGATAACAGGTTTGAAGTGTGTGAGGGTTTATAATTCTAAATATAATCATAGTATTTATCTATGATACATATTGTAGTATAAAATAACTAGTTGACCCATGTGAAGTTTTCCCATAGAACCTTCCTCGGTCATCGAAAGGTAATATAGTAATGTTCAAATAAATATTTATCGATAAAAGATACCTTATTTTAAACCATAATGGTAAAATTTACTCTACTTCGGTCTATTATATTGAAACAAATTGTCAATAGATGGCAATATCATACATACATTCTTTATAGTTCATAAAATTTAAATAGAAAGTTTTTTTTAATGACAATACGAACTTAGATCGACTCGGTGGCGCCGTTCGTAAGCTATTGGCTTTGGCGTCGTGGGTTCGATTCCCACACGGGACAACGTATTTGTGACACCGGCAAATAATTGTTCCGGATCTGGGTGTTTCTTTCCCAAGGAGGGTTGAAGCCAGGCATGCGGCCTGTTGTAAAAAACAAACGGTGCCAAAACCGCTTGGAAACTGGATTCACATACTGTGCCGACCCCACCTGGGTGGGATAAGGGCAGGAGGATGATGAGGAGCGGCAAATGTAAATATGTGTATTTGTGGTATTTGACCTATAGAGTTTTATTTGATAGTAGTTATAGCAGTGCGACAAAAAATTTGAGAATATAACATAGTGAGATTGAGTCACAGCACCTGGGTTAATCCATACTAATATTATAAATGCGAAAGAAATTCTG